TGAGCCTGGGAATGCACCTCCCTGCCTAGCAAGCACAGCTGGTACAGAAGCTGTCTCTGCTCAGCTGCTGCACCCCCACAGCACAGCACAGCACCCTCTGTGAGAGCAAGGCTAGCCAGGGAAGCTGCAGAGCAGCAGCAATTAACTGCACTCGTGTCCTCTGGCTACCTACATACCCAGTCAGGTAGCTCAGTTTCTAAGGCAGAGAACATGACACCAAGCTCTGCTCCTCCAGGGAGCAGGAAACACCCCCTTAGACACTCTTCCAGCCTCCCAGGCATTCAGTGCCATAGGGAGTGCTGTGCTTTACAGACAGTTTAGGCACTTGGCACCATCAAAATCAGGTTTCACGAGCTCCAAGGAGCAGACAGGCCAGAGGCAGGACTGTGACAGACACTCAGTCCATCATCTCTGGTTAGTGGAGTCTCAGGGAGGTCAGCTGGGTGAGCACTTCAGAGCTGCCAGTCCCCATTCCAGCCTACACCACTGGCTTCCTCTGGGGAGGAAACACTCCCTAGCTTCCTTGGCAGCCTGCACTGTGTTTACCTGCCAGTACTTAGCAGGTATCAAGGCTTGCAGGATGGAGGTGGCTCATCTTCCTCCTTCTCTACAACTGCTGAGCCTCCCAACCCCCTCATACTTCAACTGCTGTAAGAACAAACATGAGATGAGGAAAATTGGTTTCAGATTTTTATTTCTCTGTACTTTTTAAGCAGGAGTGACTGAAATAGAAACCATCATGAGTCCCATCAGGGGGAATAGTTTGATAAAGACAGGGCAAGCAGTCACCCCTGCCCCATGCCAACCTGTACAAATATCAGCTGCCACTGTTTAGTAACTAGATGGTTTTCAAACAAGTCCATGAACAGTCATAGACTACATAGAACAACATGCCAGTTCACAACAGGAAACAACTTATGTATACTTCTTGATTTCATCATACAGGACTAAGACAAAAGCACCACCCATTCCTCGGAGTACGTTTGACCATGCACCTTTGAAAAAGGCCTTGGAGCCCTCATCCCGGGCAATCTTCCGCCAGCAGTCAAGAGTGCCAGAGTACATTATGTCAGCTGCAGGAGACAGACAGCTTTAGGAACTGGATGCCCACAACCCCCAACATCCAAGTCAGAAACAGCCTCATCTATCTACTAGCTTTACAACCTCAAGGGCATCCCATTTCTTGGCTGACTTTCTGCAATACTAGCACATCAGAGGACGAGACTGCCCAGGAGAGATGGTGCTGCTGCTGCTGCATTGTCTCTGGGAGACACTGGAAGGACCAGTTCAAGCAGAACACAGCAACTCCTTGTTTTGACAGCAACACTTCCAAACCCAAAAGCTATTGCACAGTTGGCCAGCCTGTGCCTGCTATGGAGGCTGTCTTTTCTTGTCCCAGAGACACTGACTTGCAACATCCAAGGGTGAGTTCTGCTGCTCCTACCTACTGACAAATACCTGACTTGTGCATGCCACCTTACAGGTGTGCTGCACGACCAATTTGTGCCCCTTCCTGTCACCTGCTTCTGCAGCCCCTCCTACACCCCTCCTTACAAGAGATGAGGATATCTACATAGGCTGATGAAAGCCAAGCCACTCTGCCTTCCCCTCAGCTCCACCACCAGCTATTGACTCAGGGATGCCCAGTAACTCTTACACAGGAGGAGAAACTCACCTCCTTTCCGGCCAGACTGCATCATCATGCGACGACGAACCGTGTCGAAAGGGTAGGAGACCAAACCAGCGACAGCAGTGACGGTCTGAGCAATCATCCAGCTGACAACAATGTGGGTGTTCTTTGGGTCTGGAAGCATGCCTGCAGGAGAGAGGCTTTGATGAGAATGGCAGGTAAGCCACTAGCACTATCGAAATGCACTTCAGGCCTGCCGCAGCCCCGCATCTCCGTTTTTGTGCCGTTTGAGTCAACCTACCCTTGGCGGTGTCGTAGATGCCAAAGTAGGCGGCTCTGTAGATGATGATGCCCTGGACAGAGACACTGAAGCCCTGGTACAGGCCCCGAAGGCCATCTGAGCGGAAGATTTTGACCAGGCAGTCACCGAGCCCACTGAACTCCCGGTCGGCCCCGGCTTTACCCACATCCGCTGCCAGGCGGGTTCGGGCAAAGTCAAGGGGGTAGACGAAGCACAGGGAGGTCGCGCCGGCGGCACCCCCGGATGCCAGGTTACCGGCGAAGTACCGCCAGAACTGGGTTCGCTTGTCCACGCCGCCCAGGAAGATCTGCTTGTACTTATCCTTGAAAGCGAAGTTGAGGGCCTGGGTGGGGAAGTACCGGATCACATTGGCCAGGTTGCCGCGCCAAAATGAGAGGATGCCCTGCTCCCGCGGGATGCGCACCACGCAGTCGATGATGCCCTTGTACTGCTTGTCGGCGGAGATCTGCTTGCTGGCGTGCTGCACCTGCAGGGGCCGACACGCCGCCGTCAGCGCCGCTCCCCCGCGAGCCCCCGGCCCACCGCCGCCCCCCCTCTCCTTGCGGCGACCTTGGGACGGCCCCGGCCGCCGGCGCTCACCTGCAGCAGCAGCTTGACCCTCTCGATGGGGGCGACGGCGGTCTTGGAGATGGCGGCCGCCACCCCGCCGGCGAGGAAATCCTTGGCGAAGGACACGGCCGCATCGGTCATGGCGGGAGCGGCGCGAGCGGGAAGCGATGCCGGGCGAAGGAGGCGGGAGGCGGCGCTGAGGGGGCGCCGCAATGGCCGTTAATATAGGGGCTGGGCGCGAGCGTGGGCGGGGCGCACGTCCCGCGCGCCCATTGGCTGCGGCAGGGGGCGTGGCCGCCGCAGGGGGACGGGGCCGCCGTTGGAACTGGTGGGGGGCACATGGCCGCGGTGACGGGAGCGGGAGCGCCGCACGGGGAGCCCGGCATGGAGCACACCGGGACGGGACATCCCGGGATGGAGCACACCGGGACAGGACATCCCGGCACGGGGCACACCGGGACAGGACATCCCGGGATGGAGCACACAGGGACAGGACATCCCGGGATGCGGCACACCGGGACAGGACATCCCGGCATAGGGCACACCGGGACGGGACATCCCGGGATGGAGCACACCGGGACGGGACATCCCGGGATGGGGCACACAGGGACAGGACATCCCGGCACGGGGCACACCGGGACAGGACATCCCGGGATGCGGCACACCGGGACGGGGCACCGCGGAATGGGGGATCCCGGATAAAGCACACCGGGACCCGGCATCACGGCGTGTAGGATCCCACCAGCACCGCGGGCAGGACACGTACGCGGCGCCGGCCCGGTCACACCGCCTGTCCCTGTCCCTGGCACAGCACATGGCGGTGACGGGGCCATTCGGGCCCTCTGCGCCATCCCAATGCCATTGCGAGAGCAGCCGGGCTCAGCACAGCTGGAGCGGGGCGGGCTTGAGGCTGCCTCATTCACGGACACGCTGAGGCCCCATCTCCGTCCCCGCAGCCGAGACCCCGCTCTCAGCCCTCGGGCTGCTGTCACCCCGCACACAGCAGTGACCGAGCTCCAGGTCGTCTGTCCTTGTGCAGCCCCAGCGCTGAGCTCAGCTGAGACGCTCGGCACAGCCCAGCTGGTACCACCCGTCCCCATCACACAGCGGCAGCCAAACCTCACTCGAGTACAACTTCACCTGTCCGAGAGTTTGGCCTTGCTATTGACTGGTTCTTCATGGTCATACACCATTGCACATGTTAGTGATCCACTGATGAAGGGCTTTCTTTCAGTGACATCTTAAATATTTTAGTGCTGCCTTTGGGGATTTATCACGTGTATTTGTGATTACAAAGGACAGGCTTGGTTGATAAAAGGCTAGTTAGTGCCTGATAGGTCATAGGAGTGCACTACGATACAAAGGTGGTAGTAGCACATCAGAAACAAGTTAGAGATAACTTTTTGACTCACTTGACTCTTACAAGGTTTGAAGAGTTGATCAGACATTCATATGTACCCATTCAATATTTAAAATCTATTTAGAAATACAAATGTTGGTACAAAACATACAGGTATGCTTGGACAAGGCGAGAAATCCTCTCCTCCCCAACATGCTTACAAATCACATCTCCACATCCATACATGTCCAGTAAGTCTCAGTATTATTACCTGTACTGTGCCCATGGGAAAACTGAGGCACAGAGAAAGAAACATGATCACTAGGCAGGTTGATTAGAACCAAAAGCACTTACAGCCTCAGTGTGATGCATGAGCCACCAGATCTGCTCTCTACCATCTTAATTTTTTTGCTTTCTATGCCTGCATTTCTTTGCTGAGAAGAAAATCAGTATGAAGCACCACTGCAGCAGAACAGAGCAAGTCCATTAAGAGAGACACTGCAAGATTTCAGCTGTAAGATACATCAACAATTAGTTCTAGGTGCAAGGCAGGCCTTAAGTTATCCCAAATCTTTCTGCAAGTTTCTCTCCACAGTTACAGACTGCTCCTGCATGGATTTGCCAATGCCTCATCCTGCTGTGACATGTTCTAACCGAGCACTTTCTGAGATTTATTTATTTTCACCCATCAGGGGTTACAAACAGTGCAAAAACACAGCTGAGAAGCTGTGTAAAGCAGCAAAGGCTGTGCTGAGCCCAGGCTGCTGCAGCTCAGGCTGGAGCCAGTGTGCACACACCTTCTGGGCTGCTGTGACTCCTGTGCTGCCAGGGGCACAGCCAGCTTCCCACATGGACATGGGCTTTGGGTTTTCTATCAGAAGGCACTGGGATGGGGCTGCTCCACAGCTGAACTTCTACACAGGAACTGGAGCAACACCATGGCTCCTCAGCTATAATATGAGATAATATTTTGTTGTCCAAAAGCTCCCAAGAGGCCCATCTGTGGCAGTGGCACTGGCAGTAACCTGGTGCTCTTGCAGAGGTTCCTTCCTACAGGACCTGTGTGCAGCCCCTGGAGCCCAGGGTGCCAGGGATCAATCACAGGGGGTGTGCATGGTGCTATTCTCTGTGCAAGTTCAGGGCAGCATAGTAGGCTTAGGTCTGTGCACTGGAACTAAAAGTGGTTTAATAAAAAAATAGAGCTTTAAAAGTACCTAAACAACATGACAGAGTTTATGGCTCTGAAATATCTAACACATTTAAGAACTGCATTTTCCAGGAAACATTTCAGTTAGAGGACTTCAGGAAATTATTTTTCAAAGTGTGAAGTAATTCACATACATGCAGTAACAATGCACGAGAAAGGGAGGAATATTTTTGAGTATGCACTTAAGTTTGCAAGATTGTCATTCCAGTATATTACAGTCCATTTTGCACATTACAGTTCTGTCTTAGCAAAAGCACAGCTGCAGCAGCATACATTCATCTTTGTGCTGGAGATTCAGATAAAAATATTATTCTCAAGTACATCTCAAAAACTAAGGAGTGGATCTGGGAGTGTTTCTGAACTAAGACTAATTCTGACTCTGTAGAATGCCATGTCCACACAGTATCACTAAAAACCCTGGAGATTTCAGTAGAAATTCTTGCATGTTGCATATGTTTTATTCTGTTTTATTATTTTTGGCTGACTTGGTATCTCAGATTGCTTTAAGCAAATCCATTTTCTTAATGCTTTTGGAGACAATTTATACTCCCATCTCTATTCTCTTGCCTTTCTGCACCTGGTTTAATCTCAAATGGCTATTCAGTTTTAAAAAGCACCTAAAATAATGCCATTTCAAATTCAGTAGTACAGAGTTTTCAAACTAGTTGCATCTTTCCTCTTCAGTATGTGCTTGCCAGACATATTCTTTAAATCCATTCAGCAAATACAATACAGATTTATTTTTTCCTGTCACAGGTGTCTCACTGAAGTCCACTGAAATGTCAGTACCTGTAGCTCAGCATGTCTTTCTTGCAAAGGTATTTCTGTATCTGCAGTGGACACTCTGATGTCAGTTTTCAAGTGCTGATTTCCTCGGCTCAAAATTTTCCCTTCGGAGGAGCTTTAATTCTCTCAGTTCTTGTGGGTGTAAGCTCTGGTCAACACCAGGTGTTAGCTTGTAATTTAAAGGAGATTGAATATAACCATTTCTGTAGAGACAAACCCGCTTGCAGAATTCAAAGGTGCTAAACATAACACCAAAGTATGGCACAATCTGATAAAAAAGCAATAAAAGAAAAAAAAATTAGACTCACTAGCAGCATCCATAGCTTAGATGTTTTAAAATAAGGGAACTTCTAGGACTTCAGATCTGATCTAATAATAGACCTTGTCCTCATTTATATAAAATCAGTCTCATCTCAAGCTATGCTGGCAGCTGCAGTGTGCTAAAAGCAGGAGTTTATTGTTGTTACATAACTAATTATAGCAATATTGGGAGAAAGAAGGTCTATGCTACTCAACAGATTACCAGAACTTGTCAAATACCCAAGTACATCCTAAGCATCTCAGCAAATCCTGGCAGGAAATGTGGAATTTATTCTACATACACTGGAGTGACTCCACAATTTTCTTCTTTTGCCCCATGCAGACCCAGCAGCTCCAGAGCCACTGCCTTTGTATCAGCCAAGGTAAGGCAGTCACAGGCAGGCCATCACAATCAATCCTACTGTCACTCAATTAGCACTCATTAGCTGACCTGTAGTACTCTGTGTAGGTAATCCTCATCACAGCACTGTAAAACGTGTTTATGTAAATTAAATTACCTTCTGTTTAAGCTACCATGCTTTATTTCATGCTTTCAACTCAGCAAAGGCTGCAGTAACTGATACACATGCATTAAAGAGCTGGCTCAAAGCACTGCTTTGGACTTCTGGCCAAGTGGCTTATACAAGCACACTTTTTTTTACAGCTCACTACAACATGTCAAATGACTGAAGCTCAGGTCAGAAGCAGAACTTGTTTAGCTGCCCTAAGTGGATTGCTTGCAATCCCCCAATCCAAGTGTGTGCTAGGAGCACCCACTTCTTCAAAGATGTTGAAATGAACTTTCAAGTGGTGACATCTAGAAACCAAGCTTGGATTTGGGGAAATACAACCAAACCAAGTTCCAAGGCTGGTTTATAACCTGCCTTGTCACTGTCATCTGTCATCTATAAATTACTAAGTACAAAGGTATGTCATAAGCTTTCTATCCCCAACGGCCCTAAATGTCTTGATTCCTTCAGGATAGTATTTGACTGGATGAAAGCAAAACCTCACCTTGAGCAGACTGGGTGTGAGTCCTCTCCAAAGCCCAAGCACACCTTTGTGCTTCACAGTTTGCCGGAAGCAGTCAGCCATGCCAGTGAAATGGACATCAACTCCTCCATAGTGGGGAAGCCAAGGACTCTGGGCCTGTCAAGAGACACCCAGAGGGGTTTAGAACAAGCAGAGAAAACCAAAGTAATTCATTATTTTCTCCATCCTGCTATATAAGGAACAGTCAACGGCAGGTTTCAACAGACAGATCTGGATTTCTCCCAAAAGTATCTAATTTGCATTAAAATACAAATTAAAAAAGGAAAGAACTCACTCTTTGATAGGTACGAAAGTGAACAGTAATTTCACACAGTGCCTCCTTTTGTACCATGTCACTACTAGAAATAAATCCCACCCTTCTGAGGACAAACCATCTGAACCAGAGCCACATATCCCATTGGCCCCATGCCAGCTGCTCAGGTCCACGTTGAGACATTTCCCACTCCTGGCAGTGGAACACTATGAGAGGGAAGGTTGGAGCCACACTGCCTTCCTGTAACTCTGATCAAACCAGCTGACTTGTTTTGGCTGCTGAGGCTGGGTCTGCACTGCTGTGACCAGCAGGAGCTGCACTACAGGCTGAGGAGCAGCAGCCCAGCAGAGATGGAAGGATGGAGATTTCAGCCAGGCTGTTTGGGCCACCAAGGGCTGCAGGTGAGCAGTTGGTGCCCATGCTCCCACATCCATGTGCTCAGTTGATAAGGACTAGCTAAAGTTACCTGGGCTGAATCCTGCTGGCTGGCAGCTGAACTCCCAACTGCAGTACAGCGTCTGTTCACATGGAAGAAGTGCAGTTGGTCATTTTTAACAGCTAAATCCTTTCTTCATTAATCTCCTTCTGCGTTAGCACAGACAGGATAACCTGACCTTGAATAATCCCATCCTCATCCATCTGTGCACATGCAGCCATGGATTTATTTTGCATTGACAAATCAGTGTTTCACTCAAACACATGGCAAGTGACACTTAAGTGTCAGGGGCCCCAGGACACAGATTGGTGCCTTGCAAACCGATTATCCTAAGGCAGAAGTTTGATAAAAATGGGGCTTGTACAGTTAATTGATGGATGAATATGGGTATCATGATCTCCACATTGGTCTGGAACACCACATGGTGTAGTGATTTTTCAGTCCTCCTCTAGACTAGCCTGTAGCTCCTCAGAGCTGCTAAGCCTATGACAAGCCTCATCAACTGGCAAGTGGTGATGAGATTTTCTAGGTGCCTTAGCTATAGCACTTCAAGTACTTGGCAACTGAGATGCTGGAAAGGCAAACAGATCAAAACTCACACTCTATGTATATAAGAGAAATTGCTAATCAAATAGTTATGGGCAAGTCTACTGTTAAAATTTAAAGGCTGAAAAAAAACCCCTGACAATCCCCCACACTAAGGGCATGTCTTTGTCTAAAAAAACCACAGATCATATTTTTTTCTCATTTTTTTTCTGCCTGATTGAAATGCATGTGAAATACCTCTTATGGCAGGTAACAGGTAAAAACCTTGTGCACAAAGATTTTCATGTCTGAGTGCTCAAACTGAGACTTCAGAAACCGGTTCCATAAGAATGGTGACATTAGCACCAGCAAAGCTTAGAAGAAAACTAAAATGATTAAACTATCCCTAAAAATGCAACAGCAGTCATAGGAGAACTGAATTCAAAACCCTGTTCTGCTTTCTCAAATGTCAGTCAGGTTCCACAAGGTTTTTGTTTTTTTTTTTTTTTTTTGTAAATGAAGTTATAAGCAGCCAAGCAGTAAAGAAAGACAGGTTTCTGAAATGTTTCAAGAACACAAGAATGCTATTAACATGTGATTCCCTTCCTTTTTCAGTCCCTTTGTGGTAGGCAGGGCATGGCCTGCCAGAATTTAACTGTGTGAGTTTGACTTAATCCCCTTCATTACTGTACACATGCAAAGGCACAGATCAAAGGTTTGATTACACTACTCCTGCCTGCAGCACCAAAAGAAGTGACAAGCACAGTGCAGGTTTCAGTAACACAGTGAACACCTCCGGAAGCAGTTTAAAAGGAACAGGTAAGTCAAGCCTCTAGATTTCCAATCTGCCCATAGACACTGACCTTTTAAGAGATTTACTGAAATTATTTATAGTACCATTCTCCACAGAGAGAGCTGTTTCTAAGATTTCAGTCTGTGAAGTAAAGCATGTGCTGCCAGCCTTTCTGCTCTACAGGAGCTGTATGCTTCTAGGATAAAATATAGCTTCTAGTAATTAAATAACAATTGTTCACAGAATTTCAGAATCACCTACTGCGAGAGGAAAATTAAAAAATTTATCAGTGTTGTAGTTAAAACTTCAGCACTTTGGAACACAGCTAAATGAAGTAAAAATGCATTAATTACAGAATAATACTGCAAATGTGTTTCACTTGGCATTGTTAATGAAAAAAAGTAGCTGTGGGTTTTGGTGGCTTTTCATCTAAGCATGTCTACCACACTGCAACCCTCACAGCCACCTTATGGCACCAGAGCCAGAAAATGGAAGGAACAAAATAGACCAAACTGGTTTTTCTACCTCTTTTGCAGAAACCTAGCATGACATACAAATCAAACAGCTAATCTCATCCCCAAAAGGTCAGGTTTGTGACAAAGAATTTAATGCACCTCAAAGCAGCTGGAATTCCTTGCTTTTGACACCCCTTCACACTATGGGCTGCTGCATGGAAACCTTTCTCTTTTGAAGACTTCCTTCCTCCCAGCTGCAGCTGTCTCAAACTGCAGGAGGCTGGGATACAGCTCCCTGTGCTGCTAACAGGGAGCCAAGGGGCTACTCATAGTAGTAGCAGGGCCAAGTTGCTTCTCTTTTTACCTCTGATGGACAGTGGGCTCTCAAAATGATTAAAACACATGAAATGCAGAATTGCCTTCACCTGATCTCTCACAAACACAATATTTTTACATCCAGAGCCCACCAAGTTGATTTTGTCACTGCAACACATCCACAGAGGTAGCACTGTTCTACTGCAACACCCTAAACCCAAGAGAGACATGTACCAAAAAGATGCCCAACTACCTGGACACAATATTCTTTTAAAAGAAACAAAATATTTAAATAAGGGTGCAGTGTCATGGCTGCAGGTGAATTGTTAGAGGTAATTGTTACCTGAAGACTCTTCAGACACCATCTCTCCCATTGTTTGCATTAAGAGGTGACTGCCAGAACAACATAATCCCATTTTGGGAACTGATCTCACAGACCTTTCCAATGACCTCCCTCAGCCCCTCTCTTGTGCAGATAAAAACTTTTCACTTGCTTTTTGGGACATTTTGGTTTGCAATTATTTGTAGTCACGTGTATCAGAGACTATGAATTCATGTATTTAATTCATGTACTTCCCTCCCTTTCCCTGTTAATAAAGTTTGTTGGTATATATTTACCTTTACATATATTACTTTACATATATTACTATACATATATATATACCTTTACATATTTTACTTTACACATATTTACTATTTATTTTTGAGTATGCATTACTCTTGGCACAGAGTATGGAAGATAATTAACAGTGAATAGCTGTCATCAGTGGTATGCTACCCTGATGGTGGATAGAGTAAAACTGCTTGTTATTTACATATTTTCAGCAGATTCAGGTGTCCTACATTCCTGATTGCTTAAAAAAAAAAGTACAGGAAGACAATTTACACACAGCTCAAGAGTTCACACTCTTAATCTGGAAGCTAAAAAAAGAAATCTTTGCAGTCTGGGTTAATAAGGGCACATGCAACAGGCAAGTGCAGCTGTAGTTCAAAGGAAACTGAAGGTGAAGGATTCAAGGTAATACCACTCCAGTTCAGTGTAATTTCACTCAAGTGAAGACTGGATGCTTGAAATGTAGTGGATTTCATTCCACTACAATGAAAAAAAAATAAAGTGTAAATATGTGTTGATATTTTGGGGAAAAAGGCATCCTCTTGGGCTTAATCAATTCTTGCTCCTCAAGGTCAGCCTTACTCAGCAGTCATTCCCTGTCAGTGGTTTAGTAATGCTGACTTACCCCTGGCTAAAGTCCACCCAAAGGTATTCAGGCACAGAGGAAGGTAAACCATGGTAAGCTATCAGGAAATCAGTTCAGAGCAGCACAGTACAGCTGACCTCTAGTGTACTGCACTCCAGGAACACCTTGTCCCTTCCTCTGTAACCTGAACTGGGAACAAATCATGCCTTTCTGGGAAGAATGGCACCAAGTCAGCAAAACAGCTTCATGCTTGGTCAAAAGCTTGACTCTTTGCTTTAACTATATATCACCAGGCCTGCTGTACCCTGAGGCTCCACAGTTTGTTGCAGAATTCCTCCTTTGTTGCTGAGCCTAAGCTTCCTCTGCTTTAATACCTGCTGTGTGAAGAAGTATTTATACAGAATACAGAATTCTTGTTCCTCAAGGCAGTGCAAAGCTCTTGCATGGGCAGCTCTGGGTGGCTTCCAAATGCCTCATGATGGTTCAGCTCAAGCCCTACAAATGGGTGCATCATTTTCATGCACATTAACACTGATTTATTTAATGGTGCAAACCCCTAGGCAGACTGCCTTGGTCCCACACTTCACACAGTGGATGGCAATGCTAGTTCCTGCATCTCCTGCTGCCTATCTAGGAACTGAGGAGAAAACAAATTTTTAACAGGACTGGGGCTTTTCATAGGTCATACTTTCATTTGCCTTATGTGGATGAGGTATTTACCCAAAATCAAAATAAATCACCTAAAAAAGAATCACAGAGTGAACTAGGTTGGAAAAGACCTTTTGAGATCATGAAGTCCAACCTATGATCTAACACCTCCTCATCATCCCATGGCACAGAGTGCCAAGTCCAGTCTTTTATTAAACATGTCCAGGGACAGTGACTCCACCACGCCCCTGGGCAGATGATTCCATTGCCCAATCACTCTTTCAGTGATGAATTTTTTTCTGACATCTAGCCTAAATTTCCCATGCAGAGGGGAAAGTTTAACTCAGTCTTAAGACTGTGTCCTCTTGTTCTGTCAGTTGTTGCCTATGAGAAGAGACTGACCCCCATCTGACTACAGCCACTTTCAGGCAGTTGTAGAGAGCGATAAGGTCACCTCAGAGTCTCCTTTTTCCCAGGCTGAACAACCCCAGATCCCTCAGTTGTTCCTAATAGCTGAACCTCCAGAGACATCATTGCATTACAGATATGTCTGTAATAGCTGTGTGTGAGCAGCTGTGTGTGACCTGTGTCAGGTCCTGTCTGCTGGGTGAGTTATGGAGTTTCAAAAGGTGGGCTGAGTTAACCCATCTGGTCTGTCCCAAGCAGATTACAGAGCTCTCACTCACACCACACTGATGACAAGGCTGAGGCACTGTAAGGGGCTGGCAGACATGATCAGCTGGCACTACCAAATCTCAGTTTGGGGGCATGGAGGCCACTTTAGTGTCTGGGGAGATCATTTGGAGAGAATTGCATTCTGCCATCCCTCAGACTTCCTGCACTTCAAAGAAGTGCAATGTGTTCTCCTGCTTTTCTTCAGCAGGCCACTGTGTTGCAGTGCAAAGCTAATCTACCTCAAGGTATTACATAATTATCATAATTATTACACCGCAGTTTTTTGGATGAATAGGTTTAGAGTGAAGGCAGACCTCACAGTTAAAGCAGCCCAGTCCTGCTTCCAATTCTTGATCTACAATTTCTTCCTCTTATCCAGTTTTCCTACTAACACTGTTCAGTGTTCCAACTTGTCACAGTCAGTCCTCATGTTTTTCTCCCGTGGAAGTCTGGGGATCTAAGAGAAATGCTTCTGAGATTTGTTCAGATTCATAAAAGCTGATCTAGGCTGTTACAGAAGGCAAAGCCTACATTATGCTCCATAGCTTTTTTCAGGAATTGTTTCAACCATTTGCCAGACCAAATACTTCCCTAAGCAGCAGAGCAGCATTCTCCAACAACTTCAGAAACTGGTATAAAATATCTTTGTAACAACATCAATGAAACAATAAAAATTGCAGGTAGCTCGAAGTATTCAGATATAGTATAAAAGGAAAGAAGGGATTTTGTAGAAACATTACCAGTGCTTCCTTAGACCCAGACTCATTCAAAATAAAATTTCCCTGCTAAAGGCAGAAAAAAACCCCTCAAAAACTGAAAAAGAAAAAAGTGTTCTTGTATGCAAGTCTGCAAGGTAAAAAGGGCAGTACTTGAATATACTTAGAAACTGGATTTACTATATTGTGAGGTAAGGAAGGAAAGCCAAGAATAGATATGAATATATATGACAGTCAGAATGATATAAAGATCAGTTAGATTTTGTTCAGAAATTGAAACATCATAAAAGTAAGTCAGCAAAACACTTACTATAGACATAACCCTCTCTTTCATTAATCCCCTCCTACAGATGCACAACAAAAGCCATATTTCCATGCTGAAACATGCATACAGTACCTCTGAATTCTCTAACATGCCAATCAGGAGCAAAGTGAAAAAGGGAAGACAAAGGAATAAAATTAGGATAAGCACAATATAGAGGACTCAAATATTCAGTAAGACTCACTCAGTTAACATTTATTTTAAGAAAAACATTCAAGTATATATAGCAAACACAGCATCTTTTTTAAAGAATAAACTTGATAAAGCTAATTCTAACAGCAAAGGTGGAAGAAGCCATGGTTACAGAACAAATCTGACATCATAAAGCATCACCAAAACACAATTCTTCCTCAGAAGAGCTGAGGAAGCAGGAACTGACAGTCAGCTCCTACTCCCACAGCTGCCAGTGACAGAAGCAGCCAACGTCAGAAGTGTAGGATTCAGGATTCAGATATGTAAGGTAAGAAAGGAGGAAGCAAAATTATTACAATGGAGATCAAAAATAGCACCTTATCCTTATGAATTCTCCCACAGCAGAATTCATTTCCTAGTCTATGTGAACAATTCAAACACTGTCCAGAGGAGATGAATGGAGCTAACTCTTCTAAGACTGCCTAGCACATCAGGTAAAGATCTGAACGGGATGTCCTGGTCTCCTGCTTGTACTCTTACCCCAGAATCAATGGAGACAACCTTCTGTCCTAGTTTCTCAGTTTTTGAAGCTCCTGAGATTGTCTTACAACTCCCTGGCTCCACATCACCAGCAGCTTCACTGGAAAAACCTTCTTTAGCAACATACTCCCTCCATTTATCAGAATGGTGGAACAAAAGGGAGGGGAAAGGAATCTGATACCGACCTCCAAAGTGTGCTGGGTTCCTCTTCATACACCATAAACCCAGCATTCACTGCTTCAAAAAAAGCCCAGCACTTCTCCATGTGCACTGCAGAGCACACACAAGGCTCAGAGGTAGCTGAAGGCTTTGGTAGCCCCCTCTTCCCATCAGCCAGAAAGCTGAATCACCAAATAGAAGCTGCTCAGAATAAGATGTCTGAGAAAAATTAATCAGAAGTATCTGCTCCCCCATTTTCTACAGAACTCTGAAATGTCTTGAAGTTCTTTTCCTTTTCTTTGTTTTCTCTTTTCTCATTATACTTTTCCTGGTGCTGTACTAGGCATTTCTCTCTTCTGACCAGCACCCTACAAACTGCACAGACCAGCAAGCACAAAGCAGAGCAGTTCTCTGCAAAGCTGGGCCATACCCTGGTGCTAATTGGAAACCCCAAACTTCTTGGATAACCTTGCAGGAGTTCCAGTGCACTCTTGGTAACAACGTGGGTTGCAATTTCCAACAACAGGTCTCTTTTCTCTACATGAATTAAGTAATTTCTCAACTCTACATAAATTAAGTAATTTTCAGTACCCAACAAATTACAGGACTTCACACCTAGGGAGCTTGCTCTTTTGAAATATCTTTGCCTTCTCCCATGCCTTCAGAATAAATCACTGAACAGGAGGTGTTTCTCTAAGCTCACAGAATCACTATTCAGTGTTGCAATGCACTTATGAGGAAGAACCCTCTCTGTTGATGAGCGTTTTGTTTTCACACGAAGTATTTTTAGCCTCTCCAAGTCCTACGTATTTAGGCAATAAATCCAGTTCCCGTACTGCTGGAAGTGCCGAGCAGATGATTAAGCTCCCCTCGGTGGAAGAGCACGGCCTGGTGGCAGGAAAATGAAACGCGGGCCCGTCCCACTTCACATGCCTGTCACAACCCATCGCACCAGTTACAGCCAAAACCTACTTTTGAACTGATTACAAAAGCTGAATGTTCAAGTAACTGTTTCATCGACAGAAAATATTAAAAAGGAAACAGCACAGTAAATGCCTTTATTTTCTTTTATTCTTCAGGGCAACACTATTGCTGTGAGACTAAGGATAAAAAGTAAAAGAAGGCTTGTAAGGAGTATTTGCTTTTCTTAGATCCACTGGTATAGCTGGATAAAATGATCAAGTTTTTGTGCTCAGAATCTTTCTTGTCTGAAATATTTTATAAGATACCTGATGAAGTGCTCAGTTTAAACCTTGACTTCTGGACACACCAGCTACATGAGCTGGTCTGATAAAAGCCCCTTACTCCTCCTGCTGAGGTTCTCTGCTACAAGATGGAGAGAGGGCAGTGAAGGCTTCTGTGACAGCATCTGCACCCTGAAAAGGGGAACTCGGGCAGCAGGAGAGGGAAATGCAGAGTTTCACTGACCTTTTGCTACCTTGTGACTTGCCAACCAGGCAACCACATGATGAAGGGGGCAAGGACCTATATAAGGCTGCCACAATTAGTGACTGTTTTTTTAATAAGATCACAAAAGCTTCCCATAAATCTGCATTCCCAGGAATTGGGCTGAAAACCCAAACTCGTATGCCCCTGCCAGAGAATGACCATATGATGAAAGCTATTCACTGGCTCTCTACTGATCAAGTTCTAAAGAAAAGTCAACATCAGCAAGTGAATTATGTCAGTGAGATGGAAGCTGTGGGATAATGGTTGTTTTGTGGGGTTTGGGTCTTTTTTAGATCACTATTGTTTAAGTTCTGGAGAAAAGATCAGGAAGATATAGTAACTCTCATTTTGCTGATGCTCCAGGAAAACAGCAGCACCTGCAGCTGCTAAGTCACTTGTTAACCAGAAGAGTCAGAAATAAGAACAAGGATAATGATCCTTCAGACTTAATACTGAGCAAGTTTGTTTTGTGGTGAGGCATAAATGGCAGACACAGAGGCTCTGAAAATCACATGGACCTCATTCATCCTGCCTACCACGAAGGGGACTGAATTTCTTCAGCTGGCAAACTTTCAGCCTGTATTTCACTGAAGGTTTGCCAATTCTGAATTTTGAGAATTTGATGGAACTGCTATGGAAAAGGAAAGAAATAAAGATACAGAGATGGAGTCTGAGAGCATACACATATCCCATGATAGTACTTGAGCTGACATTAAAGGTGTAACAGCCCATTTGTAGCAATGATTTCCAGAGTTTAAAAACAAAACAACAGAAAAACAAAAACCCACTAATGAGCAAAAAACCCAACAAAACAAAAACCAAAGTCTCTGTAGCCTACTGGTAAGGGAAATAAAGCGGCACCCATGATCACCTGGCTGTCTTGTCCCAAGCTCTTGCACCAAGCACCTATGACAAAGAACTGGTAACATGAATGTTCTGTACCTGCATCTTCCTCTTGACAGTCTCAAAGGGGAAAGAAAGTGTCTGTGCCACAGCAGCTGCTACACAGCCATTTACAAAGTTCTGAAGAGGAGTGAAACGAACGATGGGTTCTTGCCAGATTGTGTCCAGACTGATGTAAACAAAGAATGAGCCTGCAGAAAATGGAACAGCACCTGGAAAGCAAACCAGACAGGATTATATCAACACACTGCACACAAGGAGAGGAGAGCTGCCCATCACATGACTAGAAAGATGGGAGGAGCTGCTGCCAACTTCCACCTCACATTCCACAAACCCAATCCAGATTTTGAAGAACTTTACTCTTTAGTTCCTGTTTTACCACCAAACACCCATATTGTACCATCTAGATATGCTGTCAGGGGCATATATTTACCTATTAAAATGTGCATGTTGTCAGAATTATTGACTGTTACAGTCTCATGACAGGTCAGGTGTTTCTCCAGGTTCTCTCCTGTGACAAGCTCTTTCCCAGTCCAACCCAACCCTAGCAGTGGCACAGGCAAACAGAGCTATGTCTTCAGTCAGGCTGATGAGGGATACTTCTGGTCTCTTTTGCTTGTTTCATGCTCTCATTAGTTTTATAGTGGGATTATACATTTATTATTATTGTTATTACACATTTTACATAACGTCATATTGCAAAAACATGGACTCAGTTAAATGGCATTTTTAAAGGCTATGCAGAGTAAACAGATAATTAAAAATTAATTTCAAGTAAAGAGAGAATATAATTAATCTTCATTTTTCACACCTATTATACACTACAGCTCACACTGGTTTCACTGAACAGCTCAGGAGACACTCTCACACTCGACAGGAATTACAAGCACTCTGTGTGTGTGTGTGTGTATAAATGTGTTTTAAGAATTTAATGGTGAAAATTGTGCATCCAAACACAATGAGATAATCTATAAAAGAAGGAAAAGAGTACTTTCTGACCACTTAACCATATATAAAATGCTACACACTAATTTGAAGTAATAAAGTTGCAGCAAAGGTTATCAGTGTTGCAGTGCCTTACAAATCTCCACATCTTCTACAAGAAAACATTCCAATTTGCTCTTGAAATCCAGTGAGCAAGTAAAGACACTCCAGAGCTGCAGTGAGGTATTTCAGCCCGGTGTCGTTTTACCTAATATTGCTGGTGAAACACCCCGGTAGAGTGCACGGAGCCCCTCCTGGTGATAGATCTTGTAAAAGGCGTGGAGAATGCCTTGGTAGGACGGCTCCAGCCGGTTCTGCACGATGAGCCGGGTTTTAACCACGTCGCTGGGGTACGTCACGGTGGTGGCCACCATGCCAGCCAGGCTGCCTGCCATGATGGCTCTCCAGTGGGAAATATGGCCCAGCTCATCCATGAAAAGGGTAACGAGTCTAAAGCAAACACATAAAGGAAGTACAGTTAATGATACTATGAAGAAAACCCATGAAAAACTAAGGCAGGTGATTCTTGATGCAAATGTTCTTCTGTCCACAAGCCACTTCAGCAGCAGGAATTGAAATTTTAGCATGTGATTCATCCAAGATCTTATTACACGTAACACCACACAAGCATCTGCCTACAGGATGAAAATCTTTCTTTCGTATTTCCACATACAGGATGAAAACTGCCATGATTCAAAACACATCTGCAAGAAATTATCTGATCATCAGTTAAAGACATTGGTCCAACCTGTTAGTTAAGGTTATCATGTAAGAGGAAATATGTAGATAATGACATCACAGGCCTTCTGAGAGCAACTGAACCTTCTTCTGCTACTTATCAGGGGACAGGAAGGTTCCCAGGGACACGCCTCTAGAGAAGACTTTTGTCCAGGCACTATTATGCTCAGAAGTTTAAGTCTTAATTTGAAAATTTGAAATTGAAGCACAGTTTTAAAAGCTACACACAAGTCTTACATTTGTGGTGCATTGAAGGACTTTTCTATGACAGGAAACTCCTACATCAGGGACTAATATCCTGGAGGCAGCAAGAAGCAAGTAAAAACACTTCAGAGTTTTAGCTGGAGGTAAAGAAATGTATTAGTATATTTTGGTAGCATTAACTGAAACATCTGAACAGCACACCTACATTTAACCTGCATGGTGTAGAATGAAATAAAGTGCAAATATTTACAAGTCACTGCTTGCTCAGTCAATATTTTTTCATTTGAATGTGCATTTTCTACTGCATGACAAATCCCTGCATCTACTTGTCTTGAGCCCTGGGAGTGCCCAGGGCAGAAAGCCCAGCCAAGCAGAAGCCAAAGGGCATCAACCTTTCTTCCTGTGTGTCTTATGCCATTCCTAAACCCACACAGCCTAATTTTCCTGCTTGTGGACAAGTGCTTGGAGAAGGTGGTGGGGTGTCTCAGGCACTACCTGATAACATTTAAAACTGCCATGCAAAGACAAGAGTCTGTGCAGAGTAATTGCTGAGGGAGCTGATTGTGCTCAGTCCTGCTCCTCGTGGGACTGTTTACCTAAGCTGCCCTGTAACATTTCTCTTTTTGTGTTTCTTGCCTTTATGTACACCATTCTCCCAGTAGAAAACACTTTCCAGAACCTCCAAATAGCATATCAAGTACTAAGCATAGGCACCTTGTATTTAATTTCCTGGTAGCCTACTTCCACCCGTAATTCAGAACACCCTGTACAAACTAGACACAAACTTTAGCCTTGCAAAAGGAATACACTGTTTCAAGCTGAACAAACAATAAAGTTATTTTGCTCAAAATCAACTGCTGTATGTTGGTGCAACACACTGCCTTTTCTGTGACCTTTAAATTATATTTAAATTACTCTTTGTACCTTCCCACTCACATTATCTTGCTCTTTGTTTGACCATTGCATCTATTATGGCACAAAAAAGCTGCCCAGTTTTAGGGTCACTTCATTTGTGGTCTCCTGAAGGGCTTGGGCAGTCATGGGCACATGACTTGCTGGGACAGATGAGTGACAAACCCAGCAGGCTGGCAGCACCAGCAGGGCTGTGCTGCTGCCCAGAACAGAATAACTGAGCACCCAGCTGGGTGCAAATGTCATGTGCTACCATGAACAGCTGACTGCAATTAAAAAAAAAAAAAAAAAAAAAAAAAAAAAAAAAAAAAAAATCAAGCCCAGCCCCCAGAGTGGCAAAACATTCTGGTGTGTGCAAACAGTCAGGCACTCCCTGCAAAGGCTGAGAGATACTGGCAGCAGAAGGGAATCCTAGGAAACAGCACGGCTGGCACAGCTCCACCAGCACTGCTCCATGTTCATCCTGCTGCAGTCCTATCAGCACTCACCTTAGTTTAATATCTGTGTATTATCAAAAACAAGGTCTTAAAACAAACAATGTCACATGTCAGCGTCAAGACCAATCAAATTTGCCTAACAACTCCCGCATGATAGGGTAAAAATATCTGACTTGTAATTTTGTTAATTTTCTTTGATACAGACAACATAAATACTTGAGAGTGTAAAAATTAATTAAACAAAATTGGTTGCAAAGAACAGATGTGACAGCCACACCTGCAGGTTGCACTGTAATTTCATTTCCAAATGAACCGGAGCAAAAGAATTTTAACAGCCCATCAACCCTTTCTCATGTGAAGAATCCCTATGATTTTAGAAGCAGCTGCTGGCATATCACCAGGCCCGAACAATCGCTAGGCGTTGAACCAATTAGGCAAATAAAATTACAAGCGAGGATCCGGATCTTTGGGCAGAAGGGGCCTCAGCACACCCGGCAGAGACAGAGCCATCAGACTAAACCCGGCACTCTCCATCCCTCCCCAGCTGTTCCGAAGGCCGGCGGGGGAGCGCAGGTCCCGGAGCCCCCAGAGCCCCCAAGCCCCGCGCGGGCCGGTCGCTTACCGGCGGGAGGCGGCGAGCTGCAGGGCGCTGTAGGGGCAGAGGCGCAAGCAGGCCGTGAGGTTCCCCTTCCAGAGGGCCCGTACGCCCTCGGTGCGGCACAGGCTGCGCCCGGCATCGCGCAGCCCCCGCCGGCAGTGCCAGGTGCCCACCTGCGCCAGCACCGTCAGCAGCTCCAGCGGCGCTGTCAGGCTGAGGCTGAGCGCGCCCGCCAGCCCGGCGCAGCCCAGGCGCTGCAGGGCGGTGACGCGGCCGTCCCGGCGCAGGGTGGCCATGGCCCCGCCGGAGCGGAGCGGAGCGCACGGAGCGGCCCGGCCCGGCCCGGCCCGGCCACAGCGGCCACAGCCACAGCGGGGCGGCGCCGCCCGCCTCCGCCGCCGGGGGGCGCTGTGGCGCGGGGCTCCGCGCGCCCCGGGTGCGCGCTGCGGAGGCAGAGGGAAAACCCGGAGCGGAACCGAGCGGAACGGCCGGAGCGGAGCGGCGCTGCTCGCGGGTGAGCCCGGACAGTGCCCCTGGCCCTGTTCGCACCCGAATTCATGGATTATTACATTATTGACATTTATGTAGCTGGAAAAAATGCCCTCGCAACAGTGACCCAGCTGCACTCAGGAGACGCCCCTTTCTCCTTACAATTAAATGTATTTCTGCAGGAGCGAATGAGGCAATGGCACGACTACACAAAAACATCGAGTTGAGCTCCTGAAGCACTCTGTGTTGGTGCTGGAACTGAGTGATCATCATTAATAAGATTTACGAGGTCAATTAGTTCAGGTTTTCTTGACGTGTTGCCTGAGGAAAAAAAAAGGCACAGGGAGAGGAGAGACGAAAGTGAAAAGGAGAAACAACTTGAGACCAGAATCTGTGGGGGGAGGAGATAACAGCCAGGACGGAGGTGGTAGCAGAGATTTGCTCCGAAACGGGATGTTCTGTTTCTTGTAAGAAAAAATCCCAAACAAACAAACCAAACCAAACCAAAAATCCTCCCCCCCCCCCCAAAAAAAAACCCGCAAACCAACAAAAACAACCAACCGAAAAATTCCAGTCAAACTGAAAGCTATGTTCAGTATCTTCTTACAGTGCAGCCAACAGAACAGTGTCAGATGACTCAGTCTGCATTCTCTGGCAAGAATGCTCTTCTGCTGATCCAATGGAGTATTCCTAGATCAATAAAAGAGCTAAAAGACAGCTCTCCAGAATTGCATCTCTTTCCAGGAACTCAGCTACCTTATGGTGTTGTATTTTCTTGATGAGAAGAAAGCATTTAACATCAAGGAGGAGAAAATCAGCAATAAATGGGTATAACTTGCTTAACATGATTAGTGCTTGGAAACAGAAGATTTCAAACACTACTGTAAGACTTCAAAGAAAAGGGTGATATTTCTTCCAGGGTTTTTCTTTTGTTGCACAAGACAAACATCAACTTAAGATTCTTACTGAGCACTGGTATTTTCCATACAGTCTTCCCATTTCCATTACTCATTTTGGGGCAAGTTTTTCCATACTTGTTCTGGCTGATAAAATGAATCATCAGTTGACCTCAGCCTCCTGCAGCAATCCTTGGAGAAGGAGGTGGTTGGTGTGAGTCTGTTATTTTTTCTCCTATGTAAAGGGACCTGCTAAAATAAAACCAGTCATATACTAAAAAAATGGATATGTTCAAGGTCAGGTTGGATAGAGCCCGGCTGCTGTGGTGCTCGGGCAGCCCAAGCTGGGTCCACCCCTGCCCGGGGTCCAGAACGACCAAGGCAGTGGGGACGGTACCATCAGGACCACATGGGCTGCACCCCTGGGAGCCGACAGCCGCACCATGCAGAGACAGGACAGCGCTTTCCCACCGGGAAAACACCAAGAAGCCAGTGCTAAACCAGGGAAAGGCTGGCATGAACCCTCACACACCTATCACTGGTGAGCAGTGATGGATGAACTACCTTTGCTCCAGGACAAAGGAAAACACGTCATTGCACCACAACCAAGCCTTTGCTCTGCCTGAGCGAGGCAGCTCCGAGGAGTAACTTTCTCTCTTTGGCTTATTTTTAATACAAGGCACACACACGATGCCCACAGGCCGAAGATGCCGGCAGCAGGCGGCTGCAGCCGGGGCCGGGCAGGTCAGGGGCGAGGGGCCGGGCAGGAGGAGCAGCCCCTGGCACCTCCTGGGCCTCGCTTCGTGAGGATCACCCGTCAAAGCGCTCACAGCGCCTGGCGGGCGGGCAGGGGCCGCGCTGCGGAGCGGGCGGAGCGGAGCGGAGGAGCCGCGCCCCGGGGCGGGCCCGTGGGCGAGCCGCGCTCCGCCCCGGGTGGCGGCCGCAGGGGTGGCGGTGCCGCGGCGGCCGGAGGGTAAGGGCGGCCGGCCCGGGGAGCGGGACGCTGCCGGCGGAGGGCGCTCCGGGCCCGGGTGGGGCGAGCCGGGCCGCGGTGCTCGCTCCGCCAGGGAAAGTTGTCGCGGCTGCTGGGGTGGTTCCCGTTGGCTCCGCTGGGGCTGCCCGGAGCCCGCAGGCCTGCCGGGACGGGCGGGCCTCGCCTCCCTCCGCTCCGGTGCTGGGGGGAAGGCGGCGGGCTGGGCCGGGGGACCCCGGCCCGTGCGGAGGGCGCGGCGGGCCTGGGCCTGGGCGCTCCTGGAGCGGGAACTGCCCGGCCCGGCCCGGCCCGGCCCGGCCCGGCTGCTGCGGCTCTCGGGCAGCCCGAGCTGGGTCCGCACCTGCCCGGGGCTCGCAGCCGGGGCGGGGCAGCGGGGCCCCCGGCCGCGGCTCCCGCTGAAGCTGCCGAGGGCTGAGCCCTGCCCGCCGGGTGCCCTCGGCCGCTACCGGAGCTCGGGGGACTGCGGCCTTCAGTGGCTCCATGCATTGGGCTGGGGGTTTGTGTTATCCTCACCTCAGCGGTGCTCGGAGGGTTCGCTTCAAAACGCTCCTTTATTGCAATGTTCGTGAGGGCAGCGGCACTTCTGATCATCGCTCCTTTTCAGTTAATTTTGCATAGAGCGGGCTGGATAAACTCATTTTTAAAAAATTAGTTTAAAGCTCTTCTTTAGACTTCTCCAAGTGAGTTTCTGGTAAGTGCTTGTCATAGAATCACTAGCGGTTGGAAAAGCCCTCTAAGATCACAGAGTCTAACCAGTAACATTTACCGTGTTTACTGCTAAAGGATACCCCCAAGTGCCATAGCCACAAACCATTTGTAGGCTTCCAGGGATGGTGTTTACAGCCTCTTCCAGTGCCTGATCACCATTTCAGTGAAGTTTTTCCTAATATCCGATCTAAACCTCCTCTGATGTAATGTGAGGCCATTTGCTCTCACATTACTTGAGGGAGGTGACCGACCCCCACCTGGATCCAGCCTCCTTTCAGGTGGTTGTAGAGAGCCATAAGGTCCCCCCAAGCCTCTTTTTCTCCAGGCTAAACAACTCCAGCTTTTTTCCCCTGCATGATGAACTCTGCTGCTGGGGATCAATACATACAGATCCCACATTGCATTAGCTTGTAGTGCTCCTACATACCCACCTCTGCAGAATTGAAGTATTTCCTCTGCCTTGAGCTTGCCTTCACCTCTGCTGGTGAGACTGCTCAGGGGCTACACTATCCATGAGAGCATGAAAAATAACCTAGGAAAATATGATTTTTTTTTTCTCTTTAAGATAACCCTTTATCCTGACCTGGTTGATGGTATGGTCTCTGTTGTGATGGCACAGGGCCTGGCATGAGTGACCAGCTGGGAAACTGGGGATGGTAAGAGCTGTTTGAGCTAGCAGTATAGTGAGCAAATTTGAAGGGTGCCTTTGGAACAATTATTCCCTCTACTTGCATGTTGCTCATATGGACTATGTGAGTGTTTCAGTTAGATATTACCGGGTTGTTAATTTCTCACAGAAGTGTAAGTTTGTTTTAAAGTATGAATTTAGGTTACACAATTTAGTGTGTTGTAAGATAAGGACAGTTCAGCCTTCAGTTATTGTAGTAAATCCTAGTGCAAGGGCAGATGCGTTCCAAAAGTTTTTACCATGGCAGAGTGGCTAAAAGGAAATAATAATCTGATAAAGGGGTTGAAAGTCAAATTCCTTGTGATTTGTCAGTTGCAGCAGTTAAGGTAGTGGCTTATTGATATGTCAGGGTTGATTCCAAAAGGCCATTCTGCTGAGCAGCAATTCAGTGGATCAGCCAGTACATAATTCTATGCCTTGTTCACAGTTATGTAGAGAGAAGTTTCTGATGCTTGAAGAGCTCCTGGCTCTGAGCACAAGTGGGGAAGAGCAGGGGTAATGGTGTGCACTAGTAAACCACTGTAGCTTACTCAGCTCTACGAAGAGAGTTTAGGGCTTTTAGGTGATTTATTGTATATGGTTGCAGCTGTGATGGTGTAAGGATATAAATGAAAGAAGATTTGCAAGGGCAGGATAATATATCAGTTGGTTTAATAGAAGATGTAGTTGCAAAACAGAACAAGAATTTTGTGTACACCAAGTGGTCTCCAGGCTTGACATTAATATCTCTGCAGGTTGTAACAACAGAGTCCTGGAGGTTTTAGCCTGCTGCACCACAAATCTTAGTGGGTGGCAGAAGTTTGGCTGGCACTAACTTGGTGGAAAGCTTTTTATCTTAATGCACAGTGGGCAGAAAGGACTTTAGAGATCACTCACTGCTTCAGTTTTATAGAAAGTGATTGGGTATCTGCTTTGCTTATATGAGACACTGGAGGTGTGTCTGTGTACATACACAGATGTGTGAAGAGATTAATCCTGAGAGATTCAGTTGTGCCTGACAAACTTACAATTAACTTACAATTAATTCTGCGTGCATTTGGCTGCAGTTCCCTAAGAGGAGTGATTCTGTGCTGTAGCTGCTGCTGCCACAGATTCCTGGTTATTTTATGTAATGTTAATTGCACTAGCTTTTTCTTCAGTACATATGTGGGTTTTTTTCTTTGTCATTTTCAATAAAGTGTAGTCACCCTCTTTTATCAAACAGTCTCTGAGCTTGTCTTCCCTTGCACATGCTGAAAGCAAACAGGCATTTTTCAAGTAACAGTATAGTTTATAACCACTTCCCCAGGCAGGCAGGTGTTCTGCATCCCCAGGACAGCAGGGCTCCCCCCCACATAACAGTGACTTGGGAAGACAAACACCATCACTCCAAATGCCCCCCTTCCTCCTCCTCCTCCAGCTTTATTGCTGAGCATGAGGCCATATGGTCTGGGATATTCTTTGGGTCAGTTGGGATCAGCTGTCCTGGCTGTGTCTCCTCCCATTTCCTTGCTCATCCTCAGCCTCCTCACTGGTGGGATGGGTGAGGAGCAGAAAAGGCCTTGGCTCTGGGTAAGCCTTGCTCAGTGATAACCCCTGAATTACTCTTGTAATACCTCTTAAATGGGACCCTCCTGCTAATCTGTAGGGGAGATTTGTTAAATTAAGAATTAGATCCAAATGATTAGTCTCTAGTTGTGTCCTTGGGGACAAACAATCATGTGATGCTGTTGTCTTGGCAGTGCTTATAAAGAAAACCCAAGAGTAGAAACTGTTTGAAGAGATAACTTTCTAACTGTGGGGATCAGTTGGGTGTGTGTAATTTATGGTTTTTTAAAACGTGTTATTTAAGCAAACGACATTCCCTGTTAGCCGCATGTGATTCTTGATGACTGTTTGCTTATTATTAGCACTTCAAAAACTTACATCAAATTCCCCAGGATGCACAATGTAAAACAAGAGTCATCTAAATTGTCCCATATTGATAATTACCTAGAAAAAGACGTGGTGATGAAAAGAAGTTCAAGAGGGAAAAAGGAAAGCTAAGCACAAGAGGAGAGAAGAGAGGCAGATAGATGGAGATGAGGAACATCCCCCAAAGCAGCAGAAGGAACCAGCTGAAGAACAGCACTGGCCAGAGAATATGCCTGAATGGGAAGAAAGGAAATCCCTGCTAGCTCAGAGAAGAGTGGAGTCTGTCAGACTGCTTACAGTGCTGTTAAATCGTGTGAAAGTAAGACGATTTTAAAACGTATTTTAAACTTTTAAGGATATCTGTTAGAGCTTGAATAATTCACTAGACATTTGATATCTTGATGCTATTCAGGAGACTGCTTTGGGGCTGACTGGACACTGAGAAGGCCTGAGGTCCTTATTTTGTGACAATCTGTTCTCAGTCTTGCCCTGAGAGCAAACATAGTGCATTTTCACCCAGAAACTTTGCCTTTGGTGCTTTTTCAAGACCTTGTCTTTACTGAGTAAAAAATAGGGCTGGAATGGCTGTTTTAGCTCTATTAGACTTGATCTAGTGTTGCAAGCAAGGAATTTTGGAGTGGGGACATAAGTGATACTCTCTCTGCTTGTTTTGGTCTCAGGTCTACAAGTGACTGAGCTAAATTGGCACAGATTATACCCTTTGGATTTCTAATAGCCTCTTCTTTTTTCTTGGCCAGCACTCATTACCAGGCTTATTTGATTCAGATAATGTCTTGAGAAAGTCAGCAGAGAAGTGATAAAAATTTGAGTGTTTTGCACACAGATTAATGTTTGCAAGTTTAATTTAGTGCTTTGGGCAAAAAAGGTTTCAAATGAAAACAGGGCTTTTAATTTCTAATATGGCTTTGTCTCCACTATTTGCAAAGAAAAATTTGCTTGCAGCTTTTAACAAGTGTGTAATGTAAAAGATTTCTAAAGGACTGTAATTTACTAAGAGTTGAAGTCAGAGGCTACCCTTGCCATTCTGTGTGAATTTTAGGGCCCCATTACATCTGACATTGGCCTTCTTTAATTACGAATGTGATGTGTTAAATAAATTTCTATTTTCTTGGTTTCGCAGTTGGCAAGTCAAAAAGTGGATCCTTCACTGGGTGTAAAGAAGGACAATTCATTTTCTGAAACAGCATTTAAAGACATACAGCAGGAGCTGATTAACTCCCTTTATCGTACGCACAAAGAGCTGAAACGTGTGGAGTTTAAGTGCCCATTAGCCCAAAAAGGTAGTGCTTTATGCTGTGAGGAAGGAGATGTGAGTAACTTCCATGCACCTGCTTGTCACATAGTCAGGACAATTTTAAATGATGCCTCTGCAGCCCCGAGCTCTGATGGACTGCCTGGCAGAGATGTGTGCAACTCCTCCCCCAGAGGCTGCGCGCCCCTGCTGATCACGGTCACCCAGCACGGCAGGGTCATCCAACCTCTCCCTGGAAGGCACCACCCAGCACTGGATGTAGTTCACACCCAGACAGTGTCTGAGGAAGATGATTGCAGAAAGCAAAAGGTTTATGAGACTGATGAATTCATCCATTATTTACTAAACTACTATCAGACACCACACTATGCACGTGTTTGCTTAGAGCCAAAAACCACTGTGAACAAGTCCCGGTGGAAGCGAGTGGTGTCTGATGATGGTGGTGGGTTTGACAGCAGCTTGAGTAACAAACATGGTCAGCACTTCAGAGAATTGAGTCCTGTACAAAACCTCCACAAGAGAAATTGTAGTAGTGATAGTAATTATAGCCTGGTGATAACTCTTGGGGAACTTGAGTCAACAGACAAAGTGTTAGAAAGCAAGGTCTATGGGGGCAAGCTTGCAAAAAAGCTGCAGGTGCAGAGGAATGACTCACTCACTGTTGATACTGTACCACATGCTGGACTGAATCATTCTTTGGAGTGCACTACTGTTACTCATAATGAGGAATTCAAACAAGAAGATGGTAAAGATGAAGGCACTGTACCATATGGAACATGTAGATCTGCTTGCAGATTAAAGGATTTGCTGGAAGAGATCAGTGATTCTGAGTGCTTTAGAGAGGCATGTGGCAGCTCAGTGAAGAGAGCAGAAAGAAGGTATGAAGAAATTTACAGCAGTTGTAATAAAGGGTGCTTGTCTGCAAGAGCTGGGGAAAGAGAATTACTGGTTTGCCATAAAAATGTAGCTCTGGAAGGTCAAGAGAAGGAAATCAGCCAATGTAACTCCTGTTCTAATTCTGTCCATGAGGGCTTGGCAAGGCAGTGTGAACGTAAACTTAAAAAGTCATGCAAGAGGTCTAGTAGTAAATTAAGATATGAAGGAAAGAAAAGTGAGAGACAATCCAGGGAAAAGGAGAAAAATGCTCATAAAATGAAGAAAAAGCGAAAAAAGCTTTCTTCTAATCTTTTATCTGATGAATGTGGCTTTTCAGAGACGGACAGTTGCATGCAGCTGGAGTCGCTCAGAAAGATGCAGAGAAAATGTAAGAAAATATTGCACAAAAAAGTGAAATTCAAGACACATCACACCTCTATGGCAGAACCAGATGTTACCCCTCATGATGGCTCACCCCTTCAGGAGACCCTCCAGAGGAGAGGTGAGAGAGGGGGACACCACAGCTAAGGGGACTCAGTTTGACAGCTCTGTGCTGGTGAGGTTGCCACAGTTCTTACAGTGATGAATGGTTTTTGATTTTAAAAGGTGTAAGAATGGCATTAAAAAAAAACAAAAACAGTGCAACTTCTCTGCAATTAAGGTTTTGTTCAGTTTAGCTCTGAAACATGCAGCTGCAGCTCAAGAGTAGTATTTGTCTAATTAACTTAGCACAGTATCTGTCCTGGGCATTAGCAGATAGTGGTTATTCTGGTAACAACATGCATGGTAACAACATGCTTTAGACAACTAAAACACTGATAGACAATTCAATGTGTGGCACAGCTGTGTAGGAAGTACTGTCTCAGGTGAGTAAATTTTTACACAGCTAAAATACATCTGATGTTCATACAGGATTGCTACTTGCTGTTCTTACAGGCTTTTTTACAATTTGCTGTGCTTCCAGTTGGTTGGTGGATACCCTTACAGCCTGACAAACTCATTTCAAGTAACTTTTTCTTATCTACAGGAGATGAGAGGAAATTAATGTTGAGAAGAGAGATGGATGCAGATGTCAGAGGATGCCCTCTATTTCCTCTTGAGATAATTCAGACAAACCCCTTCTCAGATACTTTCTGTGGAGGAGAGCCCAGAAGAGGATGCTGAACAGCTACTGTATTATAGCGCTGAAGTTTTTATAAACAAGTGGGAGAAGAAAGCCCTTTGATCATTAAAAGAAATATGAACTACTGGGTTGGTTTTTGATTTTTTTTTTTTTAACATAATTCCTTTGGTTAGAATATCTAACTGGTGAAGTGAGCCACAGAAGCAGAATTTGTGTTTGCCTTTTGGATAACTTCTGGACCAAAACTTTCCCCAGAGCCAGAACAAACTTTCATGGACTAGTGGCTAAAGAACTTGAAAGGACACAGACTGAGATCTTGGAGCATTACACTTTGATTGAATGCAGAGAATCATGTAAATTGCAGTATTTACTAATAATGAGTCATTAGGAGAAAACCTAATTGTCAATCTTAGAGCAAGCATATGAAGTGCCTCCTCTATCAGATTGTTATATTGGTGGGACTGGAAGGTGTGGGGGACATTTATACTCAATTTTAAGAAGTAATAGATTTCCAAATGTGAAAAAAGTCCCATCTTCTGGAAAAACCACACTAGAAGAATCCTTGTTTTCTATTCACAATTCTAGAGGTGTTTCTGAAAACTTGCTGGCTTTTGGAGGATTTCACTGAACTTATGCTCGGTGTAGTGCTCCCAGGAATCTGAATGGTTGTCTAAGCAAAGCTCTGGGTGTTAGATAATGAAAGGGCAGTGCTTCTCAGCCTGCTGACAGTCCCCATGTAAATGCAGATTGACAGTTCACAAGATTTTGAAGGCACATATAGTGAGGTAGCTGTTTAGTATGAGTTTGCCTACAAATGCTTTCCAGAGGAATTGTGAAATGTTGTCAGAGTTGTGCTGCATGTAAGATAAAAATGGGAAAATGCAGTCTAGGAGCTTGAGTTATATCTGTATTTATTCATCTGGCTATATCTAGAAGACAGCCACAATTGCTTTTGGACGAAGTCCCTTAGCAAGGTACAGAGTTGAAGTTCAATACACTGATTATTACAGCTTTCATTTTATTATGCTTTATTTATTACATGTCAGTAGACAAAGTTAATGTGAAAATGTTGCCTTCATTACATAAGATCTTACCCATGTTTGTAACTTCTGCTCTAATAAATAGTAATAAAAAAGAATAATTGTAATTGCTCGTGGTAGATAGATTTTCCCCCAGTCTTCAATTCTGGTGATTCCTACAGGCTTCTAAGCCAGGTTTTATCAGTCTTTCTGGTCCTATGTTCAGATGTTGAGTGCCTTTTCAGGGTCATGAATGACAAATGGTTGCTACTCAAAGTACTGTTAATCTATTACTTCAATCTAAAAAATGTTATTTTCTTGACAGAAATATTTTTTGACTATTTTGGAGAACCTTTATGCCCCTCTTAAGTCTCCCCTTTAGTATTTTATACAGCTATAATGAAGAGGGACTATTGTATTTGGTGACCATGTAAAATGTTTTCAGTTGCACTGATGTGACATACCAAGGGTGTTTTCTCTATATGCAATATTTGCAGATTAAAGATAACAAAACTTCCCCCTTAGTCAATCTATAAAACACAGTTTTATGTCCATGAGTACCCATATCCCATGGATAGGCCTTTTGGTGACAGGTGAGGAAGGAACTAAAGATTTCCTTCAGTGTAAATTTCTAGTGTTTTATCAACATGCTGTCACAACAACCAATAACAAATAAATATTCCATTCCTGTAATTGCTTCAGGCATTCACCTGTATTGACTGAAATTGATAGAGGATTTGCTTTGTCTCCCAAGTCCTCATTCCATGTAAAGCATTGTTAGTTAATAAAATATGCATGCACTTTGAAATGTGAGACATCATTGTAATCTTCATACCCAAAGAGAACTTCTGTGTTTCCTATTTGACATTATTTAGAACCTGATTTCAGGTGTTTAAATAATCATTTCACTTTTCACAAAATCATAGAATGGTTTGGATCAGGACATTAAAAACCATCTTGTTCCAACCCCCATGCCAAGGGACAGGCACCTTCCACCTGCTCCAAGCAGTGTCCAGCCTGGTCTTGAGCACTTCCAGGGATGGGGCATCCAGTTTCTCCTGGCAGCCTCTGCCACAGCCTCCCCACACTCACAGGGAAGAGTTTCTTTTTCCTGTCATCACATTTAATATGAGCCCCACCTTTTCATACACTGGACTACTTAATATGATTTTATTATCCTGAAGCCTAATCTTTAAAGATACATGTAACAGCTTGCTTTAAAACTTTTAGAATGCATGGCTTTGTAGATTGGATTTTAGTTGTTATAGATACAAATGTCACATCCCACGCATGAAAGTTACAGAATGTTTTGGCAATTAAAATATTTATTAGATGAAAAGATGCATTAAGAGCAGTGTTTATATAGTTCAGCAATGGAAATGTAAAACATTTCTGGTATAATTTCACACCTTTCAGTTTGAACCTGACCTGTGCTGTTGTGCCCAGCTGCTGTTTCAAGAGGCTGGGTGCTTTTTATTGAAACACTGTTTACTCTGACATGTATGAAGTTGGGCCTGAGACTGCAGATCTTGCTATCAAATCTAATTTTCTGTACAGAACTAGTGAAAATGCCTCCTCATAGAGCTGGTATGAAGAGAAGTGGGCTGAACAATGCTTTGTTACTGAAAGTACGTGACCTGTGGGTAGTATGTACCTTGTGCTGAATGCTGAAGCCAAAATCCTACAGGCTGGTTTGAAAGCAGAAGTACACAAGGCCCATTATTAAATCAGTCCATCTGCTTGAAATACAATACAGCAATTATGATATAAAGCCTTTTCTTCTTAATCCAGGGATTCCAGGCAATGCACAGAAATGCCTCACCTTTCATAAAACCCCTTACATAATTTACAACAGAAGCATTCAATACTGAACAACTTTTTTGTTTAACTGAAACAGCAGGAAGTAAGAACTAATAAAGGTGATTACAGGCAGGTGAAGCCCAGGTGAAAGAATATCTGAATTTTACAAAGCAGGTAACAGGATGGTTGAAAATAAGATACGACTCAGTTGTTTTGATTTGTCCTGGAATAGATCTTTGTGACAGGTGTTGGACACGTCACATGAGGGAGATTAGTGATATTGTCTGCCTTGAATTGGTCATCCTGTCCTGCCTGGTTAATGTACAGCCTGATAAGCTGCCATGGTTCTTTTTGCATAATCATTGCTGCCAGTCACTGTTGAAGGAAGGGTTCAAGTTGTAATGAACAGACTAAAAAAGAACCTAAACCCCATCCATTTTCTTCAACACTTCGGAAAGAAGTAAACCCCATGTCTGCTGCTTTATGAGCATCTTTTGTGACACACTTCTTCTCCTTTCACAAGAAATTTTCTGCTTTCCTTGAAAAAGTAACAATCTTACCAAAGTGTCATGCCTCCTCCCCAAGAAGTATTAACAATGAGCTTTGTCTTGTGTTACTGCATGTTTTCTGCATAATTTTTGTTGCTATTTTTCTTTGTGACGCATAATGTTCTGATGTACAGACTAATCCTTAAAATAGTTTTCAGTTCTTCAAAAGATGTTACAGAGTAACTTTAGAGTCAGGTGGCTGAGTCCACTCAGGTTACAGTCTTCCAAAGCTCCAGCTTTTGCTCAGTATTAACAATTACTTGGGGTTTTTTCTGCAATAGAGCATGTTCTCTATTTAATATTCTGTCAAAATTTTACTAGCAAACTGCATTTACAAGCATTCCATTAGAACATATTTTACTCAATCTATGCATTGGATAATGTGACAGATCAGAGAAAGACAATATAAAACTTGAAATATTAGGGGAGTATTAAATATAATAATAAAATATAACATTTGGTTGCAGTAAATAAAAACAAACTCCACCGTTATGCAAGAGTATTTTATTTTCTGCCTTAAACAAATAAAAGCCCATTTCCAATTTGAGGTAAACCATTAGTAGTAGTTTGCAAAGAGTATAAATGTCTCTAAAAATAAAACAGCAACACAAAGGTCATGACAAGGCCTATGTGTGTCTCCAGACCTTTGTCAGGTAGTTCATACAGTACCACTTTACACAACTCTGGCTCAAACAACCTTGCTCTTCATTGGAAGGCCCAGTGCAACCAAAAGGAAATCCCAGGACGGTGTTGGGACTGAGGGAGAGTCAGTTGTCCTCACCACAGATGTTCTCAGGCACTTTAATACGTTGTGTCAACTCGTTTATGAAAGCTGCTGTTGTGCAACACACTCTACTTCAGAACACTTCTGCCTAGTTTGCACCTTCCCACCCAGGACTCAGTTCATCCTTTTGGGCATGTTGCCAAATTGAAACAACCAGATAGTCGAGTCAGAGAAATGAAACAGAGGGAACTACACCAGACAGGCACCCTGGACATTCTGCACTAGCAGAATCACCTGGACAATAAACAAATTCACAAATGATCAGGAGATTGTTAGTTATCTTGGAATTTTTAGGTTTTACAGAAGTATTTTGGATGATGAACATTTACATTTTTCCTTAGTCACATCCATTTATCCAGCCCTCTCTGGTAGGAGGGAGGTCACTTAGAAAAAAACCTAATAATTAAGCATAGAGGTAAGCCAAGAGAGCAAATAAGTAAAAAGCAACTCAAAGGTCAGGTCCACAGGTATAGCACTGCTGGTTATGCATGAGATTGTGTCATTTCTTTCAATGGCAACATTCCAAACCAACAAAGGCCTCAATGCAGAAACAGCTTACATTGTTTTACTTCGTACAGGAAACTCCTGTAAGTTACATTGACCAGTAATGTTTTTCTGCTAGGTAAAGGTGCATGTACAAGAGCACTTGCTAATCATGCCATACCAGCAACTTCTTGGTTTTTAGGCCTAGCAATCAAGAGCAGCTGATCTTCCAGGTTTAATATAATTCCATTAACATTCATAGGAGCACTTTTTGCTGAGAAGAAAATCAAATGAACAATAGTCAAGTCACACTCCATGGTGTACCTTTAGGGATACCTAGTTCCACTCATTATCTAAACTTTTGTAACACTAAAAATGTGCTTTAAAAGTGAACAGAGAATATTAGTCTATGCAGAATTATGCATGTTGAACACATCAAGCATTCATCAGTCTTTATTAAATACTTAAAAGTGATTTAACCTCAAAAAATTCCTAATCTTTTTTAAAAGCAGTTAGTGTTTCATCTGTAAATCACTAATGCAATGACTCAAAAGCCAAATTATCTTACATAATAATGAATTACACTGCACAACAAATAAGTACGATGCTTTGTGAACAAACAAAACATAGTCCCTTTTCTAAAGGAATTACAGCCCAGGTAAGATCTGTCAGATCCTGCAGAAGCTAACACAAAAGAAGATTTAGTGGTGTTTGTGTTGCATATGTGAAGTGAGTCATGTGCTTGTCTCCACAGTGATAGGTTGGTAATGAAAAACTTGATTCCAACCTATTTTGCACTAAAGGGTGATAGCAGGAAAACAGTCCTTTATTGCCAAAATTGCAGTTAACTTTTGCACAGACATTTGTCATGCATACTTCTTATGTGGGTTTAAAGGAAGACAGATCATAGACCTTAAGAACCTTCCCACTGAATTTGAAAAGGAAATCTTTGAAAAGAAACCATTCACTGTACCTCTGGACCTTTTGTAAGCCTTGCTGCTGCTGCACCTTGTGAAACAGAAGTGGAATGTTACAAATGATCCATTATGGTTCAAAAATAGATTGTTCCACACTGCAGTATCTACTCTTTCTTTGCATCCTGGGCATCTTTCTCGTCTTCATCAGAGTACACAGTGGGTTCCTCCCCCTCCTTCAGCAGCTTACCAACATGATGATACTTAACTGGGGGAAAAAAAAACAACAAGTAATTTTCTGTCCTGAAGAGACATGTTTATAAACTCCTCCAACTGTTTTCTGAATGAATAGGATAGCTATATTTCAATAAAACAGCTCTGAGCAACTTGTTCCAAACACTGGGGGAAAGGAGAAAAGCTAAGATCAAGTACTACCTGAACTACTATTACTGCTGTCATAAGAATCATGCGAAGTGAATGTAACTCTCATTTTATTGCCTAAACCAAAAGATGAATAAACACAAACTGAGGGAACCACCCAGCCAAGGAAATAGAATCCTGGATTAGATTATTTCTCTTGCCAATGTTAAAACCAACGG